GCTTATTAAGAAAATGTTCTGCATCCTACTTTGTTGAGTATCGTCTGGTGTCTTAAAAGCTTGCAAGCGGCCATCTAAAATGCATCAATTGGTCCCAACCACCTGGAGTAAAGGAGAATGGAGAACATCAAAAACACAAGGAAAGTATTAGACCAAAAGACAGAAAGGGCCACATAAACCAGAGACTTGATTAGCCTGAGACAAGAAGAATTAGATGGTGCTCAGCTACCACTAATGACCACCCTGACAGGGAACAGAGCAGGTAGTCCCTGATGGAGCAGTGGAAAGACGGGGTGCAGAACTCAAATTCTAGTAAGAAGACCAGACTTAGTGGTCTGACTGAGACTGGAGATACCCTGGAAAGCATGGACCCTGGATTCTCTATCATCCCAGAACTATTAAAATTTCCACGGCCAACTTTTCAGACAGGGATTAAACTGACTATGGGAGATAAAGTGCTACTTCTTAAGAGTGTGCGTTTTAGTCAAGTAGATACAAGATACCAAAGCGGCAGCTTCTCTTCAGAGGTGAGATGGGAAGGCAGAGAGCGTTAGGAGCTGGTTGAATAGACATGGGGATACAGGGGGCGGAAAGGAGGAGTGTACTGTCACAGAATGGGGTGAGCAATTAGGGTTACATAACAATGTGTGTATAAAATTTTGTACGGGAGACTAACTTGAAATGTAAACTTCATTTATACTACAACAATAAAAAAAATTCAGACATTTTATATCTCTACATATAAGAACTTACCATTATGAAATAGACTTGCTCCCCTGCTTCTACAAGAAAAAAACCAACAAAAAAAATGAATTTGATCAATCCTAATCCCATAGTTCCAGCAACGAATTCATAGAAAATGTATTCAACCTCAAAAGCAAACAAAAAATAATAATAAAAACGGAAAATATCCCTTCAAAATTAAACGGTTCAGCAAAGAATGACATGTTAGCTCAGTGAAATGTCCTGAAACCAAAAAATCAAAGTGGTTATCATCAAGTCAATTGTGACTCATTGTGAACCCATCAGTGTCAGAGTAGAACTGTGTCAGGGTTTTCAAGGCTGTGACCTTTCAGAAGCAGATCACCAGATATTTCTTCTGAAGTGCTTCTAGATGAGTTTAAACCACCAACTTTCATGTTAGTAGTGCAACACTTAACCATTTGCACCAGTCAGTGACTGAAAACTTTCCCTATCTCTTCTATAACTCCCAAATGTCTGCTGCATCCTCCTCAAGACCTCAAGTTCACACCATCCCCCACCTGTTGTCACTTGCCCTGGTCATTATTTTTTACCTGTCGCCATAAACGTGAATCATTTTTGCTAAAATGGTCCAACTTTTGCCAGAACCAGCCCTCAGCAGGGAGCTTCTCTTTGCTCGATGAGGCACCACGAGTCTGTCTCCAGAGAAAACTCTGAGCACAGGAACAGAAGAGCAGCAGCAGCAGCCACCCAAGAGCTCGGGCCATGGTGGTTTTGTGGGAAACAGTTTCCACAGTCTGGGCTATTTCTACTGCAGTCGCCCCCACCCTGTTGCAACACTGACAGGCATCAGTAGTGGATCTTGGCCCCTGGGGCTACGTGATGTTATCTCTACCTAGAAATGTAGGTACCACCATCCCCCCACCTCCTGAGACTATGGGGACATTCAAGTAGAAAAGTTCAAATGCGTGAGAGGAAAAGATGCCTGCAAGTGGCTTTTTACCCCACCTGTTTTGGTGGAGACCCTGGCCTAGTGGTCCCCAGGAGTGCAGGAACCACCAAAGGCATGAGCCCAGGGTAAGAGTGGGAGATTTGGAAAACTCATCCTCTACTGAATGATTTCCTTGCCTTTGCTTCCTTGTCACTGGTGGAGTCTTCTGCTAGGACTCTAAGACCACACATACAGAATGAAAAGACAAAATGAAAGCCCAGATTCCAGTTGGTGTGACATCTCTGTGCAGAAACCCAAGCATTTTCACATTCCTGGTCCCTCTACTTCTCTCATTGTAGAACTGGTGCTGATATTGCTTTCTCATCCTAATCTTCATCACCACCATCATCACCCCTTTGTCAATATCAACACTGCCATAAACATGTTATGAGATGCCAGACCCTACTGACCTCCTGGAGAGATAATGAGTTACCGTGGCTTTTGTGCCTTGGAGTGTCTTGAAGTAGAGTTAAGAATGCAACATATGCACAGGAAAGAGAGAGAAGAGAGAAAGGCATAGGAGGAATGGTGTGGGAGGGTGTTACCTCCACACGAGTCTATGTCAGTATGGAATTGGATGGTTTTAAATGTTGCAAGGATTTCCATGAAGGTGGGAAGTTGGGTTGGTGTCTTGAGTTCTCAAAGGCATTCTTACATGCCTAGAGTCCAAAGAATAATTAACATCACTGGCTTGCATGTCAGACAGCCTGAGTTTGAAGCTCTAACTCATGGTGACCTTATGTGTAACAAAGCAAAACCTTGCCTGGTCCTGCAACATTCTCATAATTTTTGGTACATTTGAACCCATTGTTGCAAGCATGTGTCACGGCATCTCATGGAGGGTTTCATTTATTTTCGCTGACCCTCTCCGTTATCAAACACGACGTCCTTTTCTAGCAATTGGACATTCCTTATGACATGTACAAAGTAAGCATGACAAAATCTCCTCCTCCTCCGTGGCTTCTAAGGAGCATTCTACCTACACCTAATATTCTGTGTGTTTGCTATTATTTTAATTGTATGGAAGAGTAGTGCTTATAATACAAGTTTCCGACCTGCTCTTTTGCCAGTTAATCTTGATCTCCTAAAAATATAATTGAACATAAAGATCTCCCTGCAGCTGTTTTTATTAGGTGCTGTCAAGTTGGTTCTCACTCATAGAGGCCTATGCATAATGGAAGAAAATACTGCCCAGTTCTGTGCAATCCTCATAGTCTTTGCTATGTTTGAGCCCAGTGTTGCAACCACTGTATCAGTCCATCTCATTGAGGGTCTTTCTCTTTTTTGCTGACCTCTTTATCCTACCAAGCATGACGTCCTTCTCCAGGAACTGGTCCATCCTGGTAACATGTCCAAAATACATGAGATGAAGTATCACCATCCTTGCTGCCAAGGAGCACTCTGATAATATTTATTCCAAGACGTAGTAGTTAGCTCTCCTGGAAATCCATGGTATATTCTATATTCTTGGCCAACACCATAATTCAATGGCTTTGATTCCTCTTTAGTCTTCTTTATTCATTGTCCAGTTTTCAAAAGTGTATGAGACTGAAAATACCATGGCTTGTGTCAGGTGCACCTCAGTCCTCCAACTGACAGCTTTTCTCTACAACACTTTAAAGAGTTCTTTTGCAGTAGATTTGCCCAATGCAACACATAGTTGGATTTCTTGATTGCTATTTCCATGTGTGTTGGTTGTGGATTCTGCAGACATATATAAATTATGAGCATCAATGAATTCTTGCTCCTTAAGGAACACTGACCTTTCTATTCTTTGATTTGTATTATTGAGCAGTAAATGCTTTGCAGCTTTCTGGTCCTGTTTCCACATAGGCCCATAGCCTCACTGAAGCTGGAAGTAAGCATTTGAGAACTTGTCCCAATACAGAGATGACATCAGCAACAGATAAGGAAAATTTTACACATGGTATGTAGGAGGCCAATGGCATAAATGATATATAATGTTTATATTGTGTGATAATTCTCTGGTGCTAGTATTTTCATCAGTATATAAAAGATTACTTTCAGAATTAATTTGACCTTATTCCTGTTGACAGTATATTTGTATGTTTGTTTTCATTTTCAGTTGTAGGGAGTGTTGCCTTCATATGAACATTGGAAAGTAGTAGCTGAGATTCTGTGTAAACCTTTTGCACAAAAGAACTACTGTTTCCTCAGTAGAGAAAGAAGCAAGCTACAAATAAGCAAGAGGGAAGGTAGAGGATGTGATGTGTGGAGCTAAGTGGTTGAGAGAAAGAAGAGTGAAACGAGTGGAAAAAATATACAATAAAAGGGAAAAAAAGGAAGGGAAAAGAAAAAAAAGTAAATAAAATGGTGGCGAGATGAGACTGAGCTGGTGGTGGTGGGGTAGACCTGGTTTGGCCATGTGCTGGTGGCTGTCTAGCTGAGTGGTGTGGCTTGGCCTGTCACAAAAGGGCTTGAGCGGCGCACAAGTTAGGTGGGTGGGAGAAGGGAAAAAATGAAGGGAAAGTAACAAAAGAAACAATGAAAAACAACATCAACAAAAAATATGGTGCTGACGTAGTCAACATTTAGAGGTTTGGTGAAATAGGGGTGGTGGTGAGCTGTGTCTCTCTCACCAGGTGGCTAAGCGCCTTCCCTCAGGAAGTGTCAGAAGTAGCACAGGGCTTTGGTGGGAGGTGGAAGGAAAAGGGAAAACTGTAAAAATAAATAAAAAATATACTATTGAGGTAGCTGACCTGTGGGGGAAGCGCAGACATATGGAAGCTGTGTGCTAGTGACTCTCTAGCAAAGTAGAGCATAAAGGCCCTTTGAGAAGACAGTGCAATGTATGGGGCTAGGTGTGTGGGAGAAAGGATAGGAAAGAAAAAGAGAGAGGGAAGAAACAACAACAAAATGGCCATGAAAGAGCCAGCCAGTGACGGTGGCACAGACTCGGGGAGACAAAGTGCCAGTGGCTCTCTATTCAAGCAGTGCAGTATGGACCTTTGAGAAGGGGCAGGGGTGGCATACAGGGCTTGGTGGGTGTGAGAAAGGAAAAGTACGATGGGAGAGAGAGAGAAGAAAGAGAAAAAAAAGAGATCAAAGCAAGCAAACTAAAAAAATTATAGCACTGAAGGAGACAGCCCGTGGGGGCAGTGCGGACCCAGGGAGGCTGTGTGCCTGTGACTGTTTACCCTAGTGATGTATCATGGCCTTTCAAGAAGGGGCAGGGATGATACATGGGCTAGGTGGGCAGGAGACAAGAAAAGAAGGAAAGGAGAGAGAGAGAAGAAATAACCAAAAATATATGTTGCTGAAGGAGCTGGCTGGTGGGTGTGGCACTGGACTGAGAGGAGGCCCTGTGTTGGTGGTTCTCTAGCCATGCAGTGCACCAAGGCCTGTCAAGAGGAGATGGGAAAGGCACGTGGGGTTTGGTGAGCAGGAGAAATAAAAAGAAGGTAGGGATAGAGAGAGAAGAAATAAAAAACAGAACAAAATAATAATACTAATAATATGGCACTGAAGGAGTCAGATGATGAGGGCAGTACTGACCTTGGCAGTTTGTGTGCCAATGTCTTTCTAGCCAAATGGTGCAACATAGCCCATCAAGAAGAGGTGGGGACAGTGCACAGGACTAGATAGGTGGGAGAAAGGAAAGATAGGAAGGGTGAGAAAGAGAGAGAGAGAGAAGAAACAAGAAAAAACCTCCTAAAAAAAAAAAACAGTAACAAAAAAAATAATAAAATGGTGCTAGGGGAACTGATGGTTGGGGCAGGGTGAACTCAGGTACAGTGAGCTAGTATCTCTCCAGATGAGCTACTGGCCCATTGGCAAGCAGCTGAAGCTTTGTACAGGGCAGAAGGGTGGGGGACAGGGAAGTGTGTTTCCCTAGTCACGAGAGGTTTTCTCCTATTGAATGTTGCATGAAGTTGCCTTCCTATACTCCCTACCCGCAGTCCTTGGTGGCTGAGGTCCAAGATGGCGAATCTGTTCTGTTAGCTGGTAGGGAAGCTCCACTAAATAGCTCTCATTGTTCCCTGTTCTCTGTCAGTTTTTTATTCCATTCAGTGATTTACTGATTTTTTTCTCATTTCATTTGTTGCTTAGGGTTCCAGGATTGATGCTTGCATCTGTTTTACTTTGTTTTCAAGTCTTTACTGCAGAAAGATGTCATGGTGCTTCTAGCAAGCACTATGTTGGCTCCACTTTGGGAATATCTGTAGTTTGAACTCTAGCCCTAACTGAGGATTAAATTATTTGTTTCAAGTTTAAAAAAAAAAAGAAAAAAAACATTGATGCTCATGAGAAAAACAGAAAGAAACTTGATAGAAGAGAACTTTCCTGCAGTTCCAAAAAAATAAAAAAAAAAAAAAACAAGCATTAATTTTCATATGGGAAGAGGTCACTAACAAACAAACAAATAATAAAAAAAAAGGCAAAAGATCATTAAAAAGACAGGCAAGAAAGAAAAGAGCAAAATGGATGTCAGAAGAATGTCTGAAATTTGCTTTTGAACACAGAGCAGTCAAGCAAATGGAAGAAATGAACTTAAAGAGCAGAACAGAAGATTTCAAAGGGCTGCTCAAGAAGGTAAAGTATTATAATGAAATGTGAAAACACCTGGAGTTAGAAAACCAAAAGGGAATAACATGCTCTGCATTTCCCAAGCTGAAAGAACTGAAGAAAAAATGTAAGCCTCGCATTGCAATTTTGAAGGATTCTATGGGCAAAATATTGAACAACTCAAAAAGCAGCAGAAGAAGGTGGACAGAATACACAGAGTCAGTGCACCAAAAAGGAAACAGAAATTCTCACAAATGGACAGATAAACAACATCAAGATAAACAGAGAAAAGAATGAAATTGTCAAGGATTTCATTTTGCTTGGATC